AATCGTAGTCCTGGCCCTGCCCTTTATGCCAGAATAAGGCCGGGTATTTTAGAAAGCCGAGAGGTGGAAGTTCATGTTGCTCTCTGGGGACTTTTTCCTAGTGAGCGATCCACTCCCAGAGGTGTGTGGGAGGGGACCTTTCCCCTCAAATACCAATACCTGCTGTTGTCTTTGAAATATAAACATGTGTATATTTCTTATAATTTTGACTCTTAAAGGCTATTTGGGTCTCTCACTTTTTTTTTTTAATTGTGAAGTTGGTTTTTCATACCTTTGAGGCTCTACCAAGGACTGGCTCTGTAAGAAATGAACTTTGCTGCTGATAGAATCACTTCTTGCTTACATCGTAGTCTCTCTCATGCCCTCCCTCTTTGAGCAAGTGGCAGACAGTGTAACAGGGAACTACTGTAACTTTAGTTACTCATTGGTGTTGCGCACAACACATTCCCTTGATTTTCCTGATTGCCCTGGCAGGGAACTCAGTAGGGATTCATGGTCTAGAATGGCACTGAGCAGAAGGTAGAAGTCCCGAAAGCTCCTCAGCCACAGCTGTGCCCCAAGCTCGGCCTTGCCTTGGGAAGCTGTCCTGGGGAGTTGTGACAGGCTGCGGACCCTCAGTCCCCCCGCAACACGTGAACACAGTCACGGGCACCTTGGGCTTGACTGGCCCTGGAAAGTTCTGCCTAAGTCAGCCTGAGGGACAAGGAGGAGCCAAGGAGAGCTGCTCTGGGTTTTGGCAGTGCCTTTCCAAAGGAGAGCAATTAAAATAATGGCAGTTGGAAGAGCAAACTAAGGCAAGCCAAGGAATTAAAGATCTTTTGCTGAGAAACAGAGAGAGGGACTTGTCATGAAGTGAAATGTGTGAAAGTGTAGCTACATGGAAGCTGTGTAGCCATTTTTTTAAATGGAAAATGGCGTGAGAAGGAATATTTTACTGTGATGTCTTTTTGGCTGATGGCATTTCTAGTCTTAAGAATCATTAGGACTCCGAGGTCCCCTCCACCTCCAAGGCACCGCCAACACCTGCAGGTTTGCCTATGGTCAGATGGACCAAGAGCCTCAAGGCGGGCAGAACCAGCTTCTGTTAAGGTATCCATGGTCAAAACACCTACCAACATGGGCAATTAGTAATGTTTGGCAAGTTGACAGAAGGTGCTGTGTAATTAGCCCTGTGTGTGGAATTTGGTAAGAAAGGGAGCGAGGCTATGAAGAGGAAGGGAAAATGAAGCATCAAGTTACCCAAATGTTAATACCACCCTCCAATATCTTTCACTCAAGGAAGAGGGAACAGCTTTCCTGCTCTACCGTGTTCTAGCTCGTGTTTCAGTTTATTGTGGGAAATCAATTACCCCAATATCGGGCACACAGGGATAGTCTCCCAGCTCCCTTTTGGTCAGTTCGTAACAACATTGTGTACTAATGAATGGAGTTTTAAAAAAGGAAAAACTCTGAATTATACGTACCTCTCCATTCACTATTATTTAAACAAAGATTGATAAGAAAGTAAATATGAATCTTACAGAATCATAGAATTATCTAGAATATGCATCAGCATTGTCCAACTAAAATATAATACAAGCCACATATATAATTTGTAGTTTTCTAGTAGTCATACTAAAAAGAGTAAAAGGAAACCAATAAAAAGAATTTTAAGGAGATATTTTATTTAACCCACGATTCCAAAATATTATTTCAACATGTAAGTAATATAAAATTATTGATGAGGTACTTGATACTTTGCTGCATACTAATTCTTGGAAATCTGGTGTGTATTTTACAATATAGTGCCTTACGGTTCAGGCTGGTTACATGTCGAGTGTCTAATAGACCCACGGGGCCACCGGCTGCTGTGTTGAACAGTGCAGCTGTAGAAATAAACATTAAAAATAGGAGAATTGCATTAGGAAAAATAAGCCAGACAGGGTAGAAATCTTAAATTATTTTGAGGGAAATGAGAACAAGACTAGACAGTTTTTATGAGGTATATTTCTTGACTTGAGAAAACTATAATTATCTTCTAAGCAATGAATTAACATGAAAAATGGTATCCATTAGCAAATGCAGCCTCATATTATATGCCATTATACAACCTGGCTTTAAATGTTTCATTTCTGTTATTGGTAATTTTGGAAGGTGTTTAATTTGGGGCAGTAAGCTTGGCTGTAGAGCTATGAGATATCTCAGGTATTCTGTTTTCTCAAGTGCCTGGTTGGCAATCTAAAGAATAGGCCGCTCGGTGCAGGGGCCTAGATACTGTGGACCCTTCAACAGTGTTGGGGTTAGGGACGCCGATTCCAGCCCAGTCAAAAATCTGCATGTAACCTTTAATGCCCCCCAAACTTACATTGTCCCTCAATATCTGCAGGGGATTGGTCCCAGGACCCCCTCAGATATCAAAATCCACAGATGCTCAAGTCTCCTGTATAAGATGGCATAGATCAATGCGTACAGCCGGCCCTCTGTATTCGCAGACCTGCACTGCCGATCAAAGACAGTGCAGGTATTTATTGAAAAAAATCTGCATATAAGTTGACCCATGCAGCTCAAACCTGTGTTGTTCAAGGACCAGCTTTGCGTGGCCTGGTACTGTCACATGTGGATGCTTCTTTGGAACAGGGCCCAATTCATGTTTCTGTTGGACTCTTCCACGAAGCAATCCCCTGTTGACGTGAGTCTCACGTCCCATGCTGCCCTACCTTTGAAAGTGTAAAAGGCACTGGCATCCCCAGAGGCCCAACACAGACTCCTCTAAAAACATTGGCATTTTTTTTGTGTTCCTCTTTCATCCCTCGGTCCCAATATTGGCTGGCTAACTTAAAGTTAAAGTAAGTTAAAAAGAAAAAATGAGTTTCTATTGTGTTCTTTTTTCACCATTTCAGATGGTGAACATTTGCCACGAGTTACATTTACTATAAAAATGTAGTTTTCTATACTGGAGAGAAGGTTGGTTCTCGCCTAGTCAGAAAACCAGAACTTGCCCTGGAGACCCGTGTATCTGGATCTACCAAGGGGGGTTGATCAAGCGCCTTCCGGGGGCCCCGGCTCTCATATACAGTATATCCAGCTTCTGTTTGGTCCTAACTCATAGCCTCATTCGACCTTTGGGACTTTAAAGAATCCTCATATACTTTCCAAGTAAATGCCCAGTTGTGAAAGTGAGGTAACCTCGTGATTATGATTATGGTGGATGCCAATAGGAAGGAAACCTTGTTGTATCTGCTCCTGCTTAGAACTGCCCGCGACTCTCTCAGCACCAGTCTCCAAAGTGGGCAAGCATCCTTTGCGGCAAGCATTATCTCAATGCCTGGCTGCTTCTTGTCAAGTTGGAGCATGCTGTTTAGGGCAAGTGCATTTTAACTACTATAACCAGTCCGTGTTTTACAGGCCATAAAGTTGTTATAGGGCAAGCAGAAAGACTATTGCAAAACCTTAAAAATATGTGGCAAACTTATACCATGTGGTAGCGGTTACGCTGATAAATTACTCATTTCCTACACATTTCTACCATTCTTCCTTTTTGACCCAAATTAGTTCCTTTATTTTAGATTCAACAATTTTAGTATTTGCATTATAAGTTGGCACTCATATTTGCCACAGATATAAACTCTCTAGAAAAAGTCAGGGTGTTGAAGGATGCAGACTTGGTGGGTTCTTTCTATTCTAGAAGTATTGGTACCAGCTATTTGATGACATTTATTGTAGAGTCAAGCCAAATTCCTGTTACTTTTGAAAAGTGACCATTAATCTAATTCTTGTTATTGTGTTTGTCTTGTTTGAACCTTCCAAATATTAGTTTCACTCTTCTTATTTTCTAAACAAACCCCATAAACATGGATTTTGGTGGAAAGGTAATTACCAACATGAAGCCAATTTCTTTCTTTATCACACTGCTTATTGCCAGGCATTTTGTTTCTATAAACCTGGGATGCATCAGAGGGAAAAATATTGATCTTGCCTTATAAATGAAGAAGTTTGAAACTGTGTGTGTCACGAAAATAGCTTTTGAAAGGTTGAATTGCATATAGGGCCCTTCTGGACCCAAGATTTCAGTGCTATGGGTAATTAAGTGACCTTCTCACTTTGCAGGTATCCTCTTCTCGTTCCCTCTTCCAAACACAGATGGCCCCATTTCTTTAAAAATACATAATTGTCTCATAATGGAATTCCTATATTTATTAATTACTTAATTATATGGTTACACTGTCATGTTATCTAACTTTACACGGGGAGTGTTGTGGTTAATCAAGTATACTCTATAATAAAACTCTATATACACCACAAATGGAATGTCAGCTTTCACATAGAGATTTGGACATGTCGTAGTGAGAGGGTGAGTTTGAAAGGAGGTGTGGGTTTTAATATTTGGGTTTTTCTTGCCCAGGATTAGAAAAATATTGTCCATGCAATAATTTCTCTAATACCATATACTGTAAAACGTAAAATTGTGAGCATCCATCAAGTCAAGTAGCTGTGGTTCCAGAATAGAGGCTTAAAATTTTGTGGAATTAAGGCGAGATACCCAAAATGAACAAGTGTTTCCCAGACTCCACAGGAATCACACAGAGCATGTTTTAAGGACATAAGAATCACTTGTGGAGCTTGTTAAAGCTATAAATTCCTTATGCCCTGGCCGCTGAGCTTTTAATACAGAAAAGTGGGACCGACCTGCACCTGTTAGTCATCCCAGGTGGTCACATTTTGAGGCAATGGTTTTGGAAATGGCAAATGACACCGGCATTTTGTCAAAATGCAGACTGATGCTCAGTAGGCCTGGGCAGTGCCTGAGACTCTGCATTTCTAGCACGGCCCCAGGTGATGCTTTAGAAACTTGAACTCACCACAGTACCTTTGCATGTCCTTTTATAACCAACTTTCTGCCTGTTTGTTTTTGACCCTATATTTGGGCTGGGTTTTAACTCCCTTTAAATCTTCTGTTTAATATCATTTTAAAATACCTTGCTTATCTTGTCCTTGTTTTTTTTTTCTTTTACTATATCTAGATGTCCATCAGTTGCGTCTTGAAGTGCCATCAGCTGTAACCGAAGATCCAGATCCCAAGACCATAGCCAAGCCCTCCCATTCCCAAGAACTGAAGACCATGGAGCTCTCGGACAGCGACCGCCCAGTCAGCTTCGGCTCCACATCATCCTCAGCTTCTTCCCGGGACAGCCATGGTTCCTTTGGCAGCCGAATGACCTTAGTTTCAAATAGCCACTTGGGCTTGTTTCCCCAGGATAAGGAAGCAGGGGCCATAAAACTAGAGCTGATTCCAGCCAGGCCGTTTTCCAGCAGCGAGCTGCAGAGGGACAGCCTAGCCGGGCAACAGAACACAGAGGCGGGTGGCGAGAGGCAGCCCCGGACCCAGCGGAGAGTGGAGGCAAACGGGGCCACCAAAACTAGTGCAGAATCAGCCACCAGCCCCAAGCTCCTCTACGTGGATAGAGTTGTTCAGGAAATCCTGGAGACTGAAAGGACTTACGTGCAAGATTTAAAAAGCATCGTAGAGGTAAGACCAACTTTTTTTTTTTTTTTAAAGTTTGTCATTCAGGATAAGTATGCTTGTAAAATAAAGAGCAAAGCCAGGTGTTGGGGATGTGTTGTCTCCTAAGATGCAGGAGTGGTGTGAACACTTAAACATATCATAACTTAAGAGAAACCCTAGGGCCATACTCATTATGTTAGAATCCTCTTAATATTTGCGTTAATGAATTGATTATGTGTTGGGAGCAAGAAGGACGATACCAGTGTGTTCACCAATGCATTGCATTAACAGCTACACCAAAGATCGAAGTGCAGATAGTGGAGTAGACAGAGGATGCAGTAGGACTTCGGGCCTCCTGAGTTGCAGGTGTCAGGTGTATCTGGACTGAGCCCATCAGGCTATCTTCACCTTAATCACAGCTTTCTGCTGGTGCCTGGGAGCTTCCAAAAATACTGATACCTGCGTCCAACCTCCAGAGACTGTAATTTCACGGGCCTGGGGTGTGGCTGGGTGGCGGGATTGGGAAAGATCCCATGTGATTTAACTATGCAGACAAGCTTGGAAAGTGCTGTTCTACGCGGTTCTTTGTATCGGTTGGCATTTGGCAGAACGTGGTGAAGAAACAGTGGGCTTTGTTTTGTCTTGGGAATTTCTGTTCACTTTTAGAGTAAACAGTTTTGCGTAAATTATTTGATTCAGCTTATGTGCCAGCTTCCATATCTGAGAATTCAGTTATTAATTTGACTTTGATTTATAGGTAGGTTTTTAAGGAATAAGGATTACTCATTCTCAATTAATGATTAAAATATTAATATTTCAAAGGCAAGTTTATATATTATGAAACTACACTCACTTTGCTGCCCAGTAATATACCAAATTCTTTCATTTGTTAGTGCCTACATCCTGTTTCAGACTTTTAATCAAAAATGTTTCAGGATATAGTAGAACATTTGCTGATGAGAATATTCTTTACCAAATACATATATTTCTATAGGTTATCAAAAAAAAAATCTAAGGCATGATTGTGTGTTGAGTTTCACAAATAATAGAACCAGACATTGCCTACTAAAAATAGTTATGACATAACTTCCCATTAAAAATAGAAAAATCAATTTATGCGCAACCAAAACAATATGTGATACCAAATGTCGAATAAACCAGGCCAATTGTTTTTTAATTTCAACAATGATGTCATTCGTACTCAAGAAGAAATACCTGTGAAACTGCCAAAAATTTTACAACCTCTTAGGAAATTTATTGTTGTCAAAGCTTTCTTGGTTTATCCCTTTTCTTTCTTGGAAACTTTTCCACCTAATCAAAACTTGCTATACTGAGAGAGGAGCCTTTAGTTACTGAACTGGTATTCCGTTAACTCTCTCGCTTTTTCTGGGCTGGCTGATACATCTTATTTGTGAAGAAATAAGGTAAAATGTGAATGAAATAAAACAGATCAAGAGAACTTGCGCATAGGTTACCATGTCCACAGGTTCCAGATTGCAGTCCTTTCTTTTTCCTGAATAAATCCTTTTTGGTGATAAAAGAAATGACAGTCAAGACAGAATATTTGCTAAGAAAGTTTCTTCTATTTCAAGCTGTACTGATGTTCTTGTCTTTTTTTCTTTGTCCATGAATTAACCATGTTTTACATGAGGGGCTAATGGATATTTTCTATAAAGAACCAGATAGTAAGTATTTTAGGCCTTCTGAGCCCTGAAATTTGTCACAACTGCTTGGCTCTGCCATAGTAGCTGAAAAGCAGCCATAGGCACTATGTCAATGAACGGGCGTGGAAGTTCCAGCAAAACTTTAGGGCCAGGTTTGACCCCAGGGCCATAGAATGCTGACTGCTGTATTAGACTGTAAATTTGCGCCTACATTTCATCAACTGTAAAATGAGACTAATAGTACCTGCCCCACAGGGTTATTATTATAGGGAATTAGATTAGATAATATATTAAAAGCCCTTATAAATCAGATGGGTGTGAGATTTATCGGAATGAACCCTGAGTAAGTTATGTAATGTCTAATCACTGAGGTGTATACCTGAAACTAATATAATGATGGATGTCAACTGTAATTGAAAAATTAAAAACATATATTAAAAAAAGCACTTACAACAGTGTCTGGCACTGTTGTAAACAATTAATAAATAGAAATTATCATTATCACCGGCCTCCTTTAAATTTGCTAATTGAGAGTAACCATACTGTCTGACCTAAGGCCTTTCAGAAAAATAATCAGATGAGTCAATTCACCACAGCAGAAACTTAATTAGGAAATAAATTTAAATGGGTGATTCCAACATTATTATTTTGAATGCAGGTGGATTATTTCTAATGAATCCACTGAAAATTTGAGGTGGGAGAGGAAGGAGGAGGAAGGGTGAGGTGAGGGAGGGTAGTTAGGGGAGAATGTCCCAAACGTAGAGGGAGGCACCCAGGTAGGAACTAGGTGCTGCTCTGTTCCAGAAGTCACTGAAGGCTTTTAGTCACCCACCTCCTCTAACTAGAAAAACTCAGAACCTCTTCAGAGCAGGGATTAGCTGTTTCAGTCTCTTCTTCACATACTCTTGCTGTGTGACCACCTCTGTTTCTCCAGATTGAAATTTTAACAGAATGGTTAGACTCATTTTATCTAGTTCTTTCCTTTGTTAAGAGTAACCAGTTACTGAAGGTCTTGAAATAACATCATTTCTTTCAATGTTGTCTCATTATAACATTGATGAGATACCTTAGGAACTTAACTCCTGTTTGCATCAATCAGCCTCTGGTGAGATTGGTTTCATTATACAGTTTCACTTAGAGTCACTAAACCTACCAATGGCGTTAAGTGAGCACTTATTGTATTTTCCCACTTGCAGCGACTCTACCCAATAAAGATCATTATAATGGATATTTTTTAAAACACAAAGTGCCAATTCCTTTAAAACCTTTTTTTCTTAATCAGTATCTAACCTGTTTTTACAATTCTGTATGTAGCTAACTTCCCTAATATGCTTGATTTTGCAAGTACAGAATTTTAAATTAGGAAAAGGGCTACTCATTAACATCCCATTATGACAAACTCTTACAAAGCTCACAAGGCAGAGCTTCTTGTTAGTTGACTCTTTCCAGGGGAAAAAAAGTAGTCTAACCATTTATCAAGGTAAGTAGTAAGTCACTTTTCATTTATGTAGTGGTACAATGCAGACTTTCTGTACCCTGCTTTATTAAATCCCACCTAACTAACATCCTTCAAAAAGTCATTCTCAGTTTATTAATTTTTCTCTTAAGTAGTACATTTGACCTGTATACCATATCCATACATAATCCTTGCAGCTCAGGTTTAGGTTTGGTTTTTACGGTTTATAAACAGAAACATTTTTGTAAAAGATGATTGATATAGGCAATGATTTAAGAGACATTAACACAATGCAATTTCACATGTTCAATATCATCGGGGTTACTTATTTCTGAGAAGAGATCCTCCCGACCTTATTTAGGCACTGGGATTCTCAGATGCTGGTTACATAGGCAAAGAAAACCTTTCTCTCCCATATGAAGAGACGTTGTATTAAAATAATCCCAAATACATAGGTATTTTTCCTTTCATGTGCCATTTAGGGATGCAGGTATGAATTCCTAATGCTTTCTGAAACTTTAACTAAAAATGTTATTGTTCTTACTCTGTTGCTCTTCATTCCTTGAATTACTCCCTAGACCCTTCTCTCTGCCCCCGCCCCAGTCAAGATTGTTCCTTTGCCCAGCATCCAAATCAATTGCTTTTGCATGTTTGATGTTTGAGAAAGGGAGAGAGAGGTGAGGTCTTAACTCTCACCACTACTCAAAGGAATAAGTGGGCCCTGGCCAGTGTGGCTCAGTTGGTTGGAGCATCATCACATAACTGAAGGGTTGCAGGTTCAATTCCCAGTCAGGACACATACCTAGGTTTCGGATTCAATCCCTGGTCTAGGTACATACAGGAGGCAACCAATCACTGTTTCCCTCTCACATCGATGTTTCTCTGTCTCTCCCTCCCTCTCTCTCTAAAAGCAAGGGAAAAAGTGTCCTCAGGTGAGGATTAAAAACAAACAAAAAACAAAAACAAATCAAAGAATCAATGGAGTCATTATTTCCATTTCTATATATGGCTCTTCTTAACATTCACAGACAAATTTAGATAATAAATAGAAATCAAACTTTAAAAGTTAGAAGTAAAATAGCCAGTGATACAATTTGTGGAGAAAGAGAAATCCATAATCAAAAAGTAGAAAATAAGGGTCTCTTTCATATTTACTGAGGCCTTAGATTGCCTGAGCAGGGACTCTCTGGGTTGCTTTAATCTTTCTAAATGATCTATAAAAGAGCCTTTGAGAGCCTCATGCGATTGGGCCCTGGATATAGTTCATGGCCTTTTTTTAACCTTTTAGAAAAGTTTTCAAATAGTTCATGCTATATAAAACTGTGTAATTAGAAGTTATATCCCTACTACAAAGTGGCTTCTTTGAACTATAAGAGATGCTAAATTAAATTGGCTTGCAGACGTTGAGGACATGTATGATGAAAAAAGTAGATAAAATATTTGTGACATATGTTTATTTTTTCTATCATTTTCTGGAGATTTAAAATCCTTTTCAAATATCTTTATCCATACAGTGTGTTAAAAAGCTAAGCATTGAGTATTATAGCCATAATGTTTAGCATTTAAAGAGCCAAAGCCTTCAGCATATCTTTGTTGAAAGCATGCAGCACTGTTTGAAAGCTGCAGCTGAACCAGCATTAGAACAGCGATCTCTGACCTTCTCCCTTCTCCGCGGCTCTTGTGTTTATTAGTCTACACGTACTCTTTGGGTATTGTGTGATAGTATAAGCAGTGTTGTCAGGGTAGGTGAAGAGAGAAAGATGCTTCTCACACACAGTGACATGAAACACCTTGACTATTATCCTGCCCATTGCTGGGCTTAGAGAAGAGGCTGCTGTTCGTAGGGCGGTATCCAGTTCTTTGGAAGGGGGGCTCTCTTATACTGGGAAGCAAGCCTTCTCCTG